ACTCGCGATTAATCGCATTTTAATTGCACATTTTTTTTCTGATTGAAAATCATTTAAATACTCTCGATGACATACAAAAAAATACATACAGGCTAGGTTTGTGCCAATGTTCTTTTTTGTTTTATGAAAACAGGTCACTGATACTGATTTATGCCATAGAAACATATGGCAAGAAGATGGGGAGGCATGTAGCAAAAAATAACAAATATGTAGCCAAAAAAAAGGCCCTGAAAACAGGCTGATGTAAAAGACAGTCTTTACAGTTAATACAGTCTTTTGAACAAAGACAAGCATTTTACCCTACTTCTATGTAAATGTAGTAGAGTTAACAGATGTTAATTAACCAAGATAATAATGAACAATTTTCAATCAATACATCAAAATCAATAGACCGACATCACTAGATGGAGGTAGTCTATGCTCTAGAAAGTTACTTCAGACTCTTAACAAAAATGAGAACACACACACACACACACACACGATACTGACCTGTGGCGTACACAGACAGCAAGAGTGCCGTAGCGGATTCTATTTCACCTCAGTAATCTGTTTTCTCAGCGTATTTCAGGTTGCTACTAGTTACCAGACACTCAACTTGTTTGTTGGTGGTGGGGCTTAAAGAAAAGGCACTAGCGTCACCCAGTGTATGAGCGTCTTTTTTCCTTGAGGAAAAAAGCGTATTTTTTCCCAGCGACTATTTTTCCTCCGCTCTCGAAGCCTATGGAAAATGCATAGACTGGGGGAAAATAGCCCCGCCTTCCCGCAGGCTGCAGCGAGATGTACTTGGAAAATTGTACCATAAAACCACATAGCGTTAATCTCACGTTAAAAAAATTATCGCCGTTAAAATGGCCTCGCGTTAACGCGATAATTTTGACAGCACTAATATATATATATATATATATATATATATATTAGGGCTGCAACAACGAATCAATAAAATTGATAAAAATCGACTTTTAAAAGCGTTGGCAACGAATTGAATCATCGTTTAGTTGTGTCGCGCGATTAATGCGTCATCCGCCGCCGCCGTCATCCGGGGGAAGAAAAAAAAATATGGCGGAGCGAGTCAGCGCTGCAGTTGCAGTGTTGCCAACTCAGCGACTTTTCAGACCCCTCCAGCGACTATTTTTCAAAAAAGCGACTAGTGACAAATCTGGCGACTTTTTACGGTGTCACTGGCGGGTTTTGTCTGCCGTGGGGCGCCTCCCCCATCCCAACCCCTTTCTCCCTCTCCCACAGGAATCCCTCTCAGCGCTGCAGTCAGAGCCGCAGGATATTAGTGAGGAGTTTACCCTCAGCGTCCAGACTGCAAATGAAGCGCGCATGCGCCGGGATTGACGGCGCAAATTGATCACAATAATTAAAATAGTCTGCGCTTTGTCAAGTGAAAAAAGTCGTAACATGCAACTTTTGTAAAAACAAATGAACATGGCACGGAAGCACCACTGTTATGACGCAGCACCTGAAAAGAAAACACGTTGGAGCCTTCGATGGCAGTGAAGAGAGCTGATCAGCAGGATGAGTAACCATGTTTGTTTCGTTTTAAAGTGGGGAAACATTACGTTAGTTTCTCAGGTAGCTCATCGGATGCTTTCCTTACCTTGTTAGTAGGTTACAGACAGTGATAAGGTTGGCTACTTATTTTACTTTTAATTTCATTTGAATTAGCCAAAGCAGCATTTATATTTTCTTTATAAATAAATTTACTTGCAAATTATGAGGGCAAGGCTTTTAAAGTTTAAATCTTCTGGCAAAGATAAAGAAAAGAAGATCCTGCAATTTATGGAAGTAAAGCAGAATAAAATCCAGCAAGATCAGTAATATGTCAATTAATTATATGCCACATTCCCATGTAAATATCTGTCTTTGGAGGATGTGTTTTTTACCACCCCTAGTTCTCTCATTTTTATTCCAAATACAATTTATAATTTGAATCACAGGGCTATTTTTATCTCTATGGTTAAGTGTTTTCTCAAGCAGCAACTTTAACTGCTATACTTTCCTGTCTTAAAAGGCAGAACTCTTCTAGTCTAAAAAAAATGAATTTGTTGAAATGGGGGGGCCTATTGTTTGAACCCCTTAGGGGCTTTAAAAAACATAAATGCCTGTCTCTTTTTGCGCTTTATGAAACAAAGTACCCTATATTTTGTGGATGTACAGCTACATTTCTCATGTAAGTTTGCGTAGTTTTAACACAAACATTTATTTTTCATATTGCACCAGTACAGTTAATGAGCAACCTGTACTTGTGTGCTTGTTTGTTCTGTCTAAAATGTTTATTTTGGAATAAAGAGGTTAATATAAAAAATATTTTTTGTCCGATTCATCAATTAATCGAAAAAATAATCAGCTGATTCATCGATTTTTAAAATAATCGTTAGTTGCAGCCCTAATATATATATATATATATATATATATAAAATTTATCGACGATTAGAGTCTGATGTTTTATTTTGAAAAATATAAAAAATTGCGGTATTCTCTCCCAATTACATCAGTCGGTGCATCTTTGCCTCTTGACACAGGTTAATTCAGTTAAAGACTCATCCTATCTATAACATCCTATCTTTGTGAAGCAGGATTTTCTGTGGTTACAGCGACCAAAACAAAGCTACGGAGCAGACTGGACATCAGGAGCACACTTCGTCTGTCATTGTCTCCGGCTTGTCATATCATTTTACTTGATCGTCTTTAGCTCCCCGGCTGGTTCGTGAAAATATAGTCTGACATATAGCGGTCCGTGGTGCAAAAAAGGTTTGGGACTGCTGCTTTACACAGTTGCCCTTCAGTGTTTCTCATAGTAAATCTGTATAAGGCTAACTTTGTTTCTTTATCGACTCGTACCCAGCCTGATTGTGAGCGCTGGTCACTACTTAATTTATCTGCAACAGGCTGTGTCAATTCTGTCAAAATGAATATACTTCCAAGATTTGTTTACCTCTTTCAGTGCATACTACTTTTTCTTCCACAGTCTTTTTTTTTTTTTTTGCAAACTAGATAGCTTGACTTTAGAATTTGTTTGGAATAAAAAGACCCATAGGATGCCTAAACAACATTTCCAAAGACCTAAACCTCTTTGGGGGCCAGCATGACCAAACCTTAGATTCTACCACTGGGCTTCGAATATTAGGATTCTTGAATATTTGCTTCAAATGAGAATGTTTGACCCCTGTCCATAATGGTTGGCTATGGAAGCGAGCTATACTCATCCAGTGTGTCTTGGTGCTCTGGTTAACTGACACATTCAGTTCTCTACGAGTCCCTACAATAAAAACGCTATCATGCAAACCTCACTGATAATCTGGATTCAGTTTAAACGATACTTTGACCTATAAACCTTATCTACTCATGCACCGCTTGCAGCCAACCATGCTTTTCCTCCTTCCCTTTTGGACAGTGCATTTACAAATTGGCCAAGTCTTGGTGTTAACAATTTTAGAGTTGTGTTTGCTTCATTTCAGGAACTTTTCAAAACATTTTCACTTCCTCAGCAGCACTTTTTTAGATGATTAGATTTTTTTTAGATTTGTTCATTCTACATTTTCTGGGTTTCCCACCCTACCAGAGGACACAGCCCTTGATGTATTCTTTAGTCCATTATCAACTCTTAAAGGTTCCATAATTTTTATTTATAATCGCGTCCCTCTTCTTAGTCTTGAACCCTTAAAGTCCATAAAATCGTTGTGGGAAGAGGACTTGGGGGGTCATTTTCACATGAAATCTGGACAGAGATATTGCAGCGAATACATAAATCTTCATTCAATGTAAAGTGATACATCGTGTCTATTATACTGAAGCTAAATTGGCCATAATGTATGATGAAATAACTGCAATTTGTGATAGATATCAAAAGTATACTGTGAACCATGTACATATGTTTTAGAACTGCCCATTATTATATAGTTATTGTACAGAAATTTTTACCACTTTTTCAAAAGTACTAGGTGAAAGTGCATTGAGTTGCACCCAATCCACTCACTGCACTATTTGGCACCCCCCCCCCTTCCTTGGAGATACCTATTCTTTGACTTATTTAGCAAAATCCGAAAAAGTTGTTTATGTTTTTGCTACCCTTTTGGCGAGACGATTGATTATTTTGAAATGGAAATCATCTGTACCACCTACCGGCATTAGAGGATTAGAGGATGTCTACATCCTCTATTTTCTCAAATTAGAATAAATCTGACTATCATTGACTGACAGAAGTTGAATGTTTATGTATGGGGACCATTTTGAGGAAGTTAGCAAGCTTGATATGTCCCTTATGCCAGACCCCAACACTTAAAATGGACAAACTGAGCATGTATAATATGCCGAAGATATCTGGCTATATCTATATAAGCTAATTCACTATTTGAATGTCTTGTATTTAAAATTCTTTATATATGTGAGGGGTTTATTTATTTATTTACAAATAGTAAAATGTACTGCATTTTGATATGTTATTTCTGATATTTTGATTTGATATTTGATATTTGATTACTCACCAGCACTTTAAAGAAAAACACCAACAAAATTAATCACAAAAGATTTATTTAACTTTTTTCATAAGTAATGTTTACAAAAATACATCAAAAAATATTTACATCTGCATACAAAATGTGTTATTTCAGTTTAAAAAATGAAAAAAAACATCTGCACATCATGTAATAATGTCTCCTGCATTTAATCTCTAGTTTGCATGTTTGTTTATACATTAAGCCAAAGCTGTTTATATATCGTGAAATATAGCACGGAAGATATCCTCAGAACCAAAGGTTTTATTTGCATATATGTGTAATGTAAGTAGTAAATTTAAAAGTATGTTGAGTTTCTTAAAGCAATAAAACATAGTAGTTTTTACTGCATTTCTATGAATAAAAAAAAAACTTATCTATATAAATTAAATATAACAAAACTGTGTGAACTTTTCATCATTTGCATAGAAATTCAGCTAAGCCTTCAGGAATAAATATAGTCGTTATGTATTTTATGTTCTCAAATTTAGATTTAATTATGAACTTACATTAAGATAAACTTCTCTTATCATTAAATCTGCATTGAATTAAAAGTACATTCTAATGACATTAACTGCTTTCAGTTTGTATTAATTGAAATACCAGAATTTGTTCTTATCTCTCTAAATGCAAGTTTTTGTTCAAATTAAGTTCGTTGTTTATTAAGTGAATGTTTGGAAAGTTTACATCTTCTTGTGTAAAACAAGTGGAAGTAATGCTTCTCTTACTGAAGTTACAGTTTTTAGCCAATCTTCTCACCTCTGGATGAAAGACACCCTATCATTTTTATCTCAAACCACCGTTTATTTGGTCGGATTTATCTCTACCACTGTTTGCAGTTGACTTTTTGAGCTTGACCCTCCCTCTGCTTGTGTGGTTTTCAGGGTTTCATATTCATCCTTATTTACTCCTTCCCTCTTTAGCGCTTCATAACCACCGTCTCCTCCCTCACGTTCTGTCCCTGGCCTCTCCTCTCCTGACTTGGTTTTAAGGGTGTCATATTCATCCCTTTTGACTCCTTCCCTCTTTAGGGCTTCATAACCATCGTCTCCTCCCTCACGTGTTGTCCCTGGCCTCTCCTCTCCTGATTTGGTTTTAAGGGTGTCATATTCATCTTTTTTGACTCCTTCTCTTTTTAGGGCTTCGTATCCTCCTTCTCCTCCTGATGCCACATTATCTCCCAGAGTGTGATAAACCTCCTCCTTGGTGCCTGTTTTCGCCAGTGCCTCGTATTCGCCACCTTTCTTCTCTCTGCCTTCTGATCCTGGTTGAATTGTGTCATATTCACCCCCTTTCATGCGCGACACATTCAGAGCCTCATAATTTGCATCCCCTGTTGGCCTCATCTGCACTTGCTCATAAATGTCCACTGCAGCTGAAAGATATGTGAGGGTTTATGTAGCCAAAATGCAGTCAAAAGGTACAAAACATGAAGACTGTTGCTTACCTTGAGCATTTCTCTTCTTATAACAGTAAAATGCCACACCGAAAATGATTAATCCTACTGGGATCAAACCCAAGTACCAAGGTATACTGGCTCCAACTGAAAGTGAAACATCAAATATCAAGGTATGGAGTAATAGCAAAAGACAGAGTTGTAGCAGGGCCTCATAAAGTTGTTTTTTCATAATCCCAGTCCTTAATGTCACTAGATGATACTCATCTTCGGTAGCAAATACATTTGCTTTTTCTCTCTTTTCAACGTATCTAAATAGGAAAACTTATGTGTGAATTTCTCCCATCTTCTCCAGCTCCTCTGGTGGAAGCCAGAGAAGCACCGGGGCCAGGCGAGGGACATTAACCCTCTAGTCTGCCCTGGGTCTCCTCGCAGTTGGACGTTCCTGGAATACCCTCTGATGGAGGCGTCCGAAACAGAGCCACCTCATCTAACTCCTCTAAATGTGGAGGACAAGTAGCTCTACTCTGAGCTTCTCCTGGATGGCTAAGCCCCTCATCCTATAGGGAGTGTCTGGCCACACTACGGAGGAAGCTAATAGCTGAAGAGTTTCACCTTTTTCATAGCAATAAAAAATTAAAAAAGCAATAGAACCGAAATGTTGCACAAAAGAAGAAATGCATAAAAACCATAAAATACACTAAGATGGGAAAAAAAAAAAAAAAAAAAACATAAAATAGATAAGTAAGTACCGTAGGAACACTATAGAAAATAAAAAATACAACTTTTGGCTAAGCTATCTTCTCACCACAACAGACTATTACAGTATCTACATTACAGCCACATGTGAACAGGACCTGGGTTACTTGAAAAGATCAAAAAGGTGTCAGAAAAATCCTTAGAAACTCTTCTCAGATCAATAGATCTCAATAATTTTGTTCCCAATATGTTTTTGAATTTCATTAGATAATAATCCATGATATGTTTTCTTTGTGATATTGGCTATCCTCCTTTGTTTTGTCGAACTTATGTTATGTGAATGAATTCTGGACTTTTCTGGAATAATCAGACTTGTTAAGGAAATGAACAGTTTAATAGTTCAGATATTTCTACACATGTACCAGCTTTCCAACTTCAGACAGCATTTTGATAAGGATTGTATCATTTTATCCTTTGTGTTAAATTTTAGTGAGCACCTTTTGTGCAATGTTTTTCAACCCTGGTCCTCAAGGCACACTGCCCTCCATGTTTAAGATGTTTCCCAGCTTTAACACACCTGTTATCAATTGATAGCAGATTATCAGGCTTTGCTGTACTGTAATCATCTGAATCAGGTGTCCTGAACCTCAGAAACATCCAAAACATGCAGAGTGGGTGCCTTAAGGACCAGGGTTGAAAAACACTGGTGTAGAGCTTTGAGCAGAAATCTGTTTTTGTCAAAAATACTTCGTCATGAATAATATTCTGTAATTGCGTTGTGTAATTGCTGTTTTAGAAGAAGGTACTCACATTCCTTAGAGGAGCTGGGTAAAGTCCTCATGTTGTCTGAAACAGCTCTGCAGTGGTAGACACCATGACTGGGTTTCATATCTGGGTCCAGCATTTTCCAGGAATTACCCATTTTCTTGTAGTACCTGTATGACATAGTGCCTTCGCACGCTGGACACGTGCAAGTCCCATGATCAGAAAGTTGTGCTCTGACAGGAGAAGCTAAAACAGGAGGAAAGAAGCAAAACAGAATTAACGGTGTACCAAAAACGATTCAGACCCTGCAGCAAATTAGGTTTATTGGCCAAGATCAAAGTTATTAAACTTTTTGCCTTAATCAAGTCACACAAGAAATGTTTAAATCAGGAGTTGTGGTTCCAATCTTGGAGTGCCACTATCCTATAACCTTTGGATGCATCCCTGCTTTAAAATTGATGACATGCCGAGCAGGTAATTTGGTCTTTTGGTTCAGGGTGTTGGAGGCAGGATACTTCCAAAAGCTGCAGCTCAGAAGCTCAACAATTGTAGTTGCAGACTCCTGGTTTAAGTTGCTAAGTATAATTAATTAGACAAGGATTTTTTCTAAATTCAAACCTGTCCTACTTTCAGTGACCATTGTGGTCTCATAATTATTCAACATCCTGAACTGACATCTTAGTAATTGCACATGTTTTCATACCCAGGTGTGACCTCAGGTACAGCTACGTTCCACAGTGAGGGTCCTATTGAAAGCTAATGGGCTCCACACCTGAACACCAGCAGCTACACTATCAACCCAACACCACAAGAACGGCTTGAACCTGATCATTTACAGATATATACAGAGGCCAAAAAGGTTTGGGGATTTTGTTCTGTAAAGACATGCCTCACAACTGGAATTTTTCTGACTGATGGATCAGCCATATTCCTTTGGACTCCTGCAGGAATATGAATGAAGCATGCTCTGAAGAGACCACCATCATGCCTAAAGTGAAGCACAGCAAAGGCTCAGGGTTTTTTCTCGGAGTGCTTTACTCTTTGGGAATGTAAACCTGCTGCTCTCAATCTAAAAGACGGATTTAATCAAGCATCTCTTTCTCCTTGGAAGCTGAAGCTTGGATATAATTTTATATTCAAATATGTTAGATTCTACTTTCAAATGTTAGCATTGATTCCTAGAGGTTGTACAAAGCCTAGTTTCAGAAGAAGTCAAGGAAAACATTGGAGCAGCCATAATACTGCCTGACATCAGCTCTGTTAAAAAAAACTCTACGGTGAGCTGTTGAAAAGGCAGCTGAAGCAAACAAACATGTTCATATTAGGTAACTGAAGGGTTTTATTCTGAGTAGTCGGCTAAGACTCCTCAGTAATGCTGACAGAAGCTGCAGTCTGGCTATGAAAACACACATCCAGCCATACCAACACCAGAAAGGTGCTTTATTTAATGCTACAGATGCTTTTCATATAGAAGCTGTATAATTTTGAGACAGTAGAAACTACTGTTTTAGTGTTTAATTTAGAAAATTCCAAACAATATTATTCTTGTTTAGCTTTGATGTGTGTTTTGCAAAGAGCTGGAAGGCTGTATCTTTTGCTGTCAGTTAAAGTAAATAGCCATTTGGGTAAACAGTGAATAGTTAATAGTAGTCATAGGTATAAATAGTGGGAGTGCGTACCATGGACAAGCACTTCTTGAGCATCAGAACCATATTGATGTGGAGTTGGAATAGTCTGGCCTTTGTGTCTGTAGGTGGCAACACACTTATATTTTCCAACATTAGATTCATTAACTGAATCCAATTGAAACGATTCTCCGTTAATTGTCTTAATGACTGTGTTTTCTTTGTAGAAAACTGATCTCTTGACTTCATCCGTTCCCCACACAAGACAACTCAGAGTCATTCTCTCTCCTGCTATTGCAGGAAACGGATACATTTCCAGAGTCACTTCGTTAACTGAAATACATTTAAAAGTGGATTAAAAAAAATGAAGCACATCTTAGACCACACATACAGAAAGCATTAATGGTTGTAAAGGCTTTTGTAGCGACTTTAAGAGCTGTGAGATTTCAGTCCGACGTAGATGTCTACCAATGGCATAAAAAGTGAAATAAACCTACCAGTGGTTCTCAGTATGACTTGATTACTTCTTTGATTTTTAGTCTTGTGATAACACCAATAAATGGTCTGTGGGACTCTCAGTTCGGTGGTTTCAAAAGCGAGTGATGTTGCATTTTTGTGCTCCAGTCTAAGGATAACCCTTTTGGTCTCCTCTCCCCGGTTGACTTTGCATTCCCATCCATCCAGTCCATCATCATTTCTTATTTCCAGTATAACTTTGCTGTTTTTTCGCACCACTGGATGGCCTGTTTGGATGGTGAGTGATGCAATGGGAACGTATGCTGTGTTGGACACCAGGATATTAATAATAATGAACAGATAACACTTCTTTGCATTGAAGGGTTGAACTCAACATTTTACTTCAGTGCTGTTACCGTGAACCTTGATGGGGAACTGATCACTTGTTTGGCCGCTGATTGTACATTTATAGTTTCCTGAGTTCATGAGGGAAGCAGTTGGTATCCTAAGGATATTATTTCCACTGGATGAAGCATCGACAGCAGTGTCATTGAAACTCCAAGTCGCTTGGCTTCCACTCTGACCACCCTTACAATGCAAGTAAAACAAGTCTCCAGTAAAGATCTCAATCAGAGGGGGGGATATGGACACTGAGGAGGCAGAGAAGTTATAAAAGCAAATGGTTATTTTGTGTAATTATACATATACTGATGTAACTTGGATACAGGAAAAGGTTTCAGAAAAGTGATTTCCGATTACCTGTTGGCTTCGACTGACATCTCACCAGAAGAGGGATCACTGCTATATCATTGATAAAAATAAGGATAAATAATTTAATTTTTTCTCAAATAAGAATCATTTCAATTGTTTTAAAACAGTCTTATGTTTGATGGAAATATATTTTTTTATCTGCATGTCATCTTGTTATCATAACCAAAAATTATTTATTGTGAATATGTGATGAACTATTAAAGAAAAATTCAGTTAGAATTAAAAAAAATCACTCGTAAGTAATTAAATTAAGCATCATAATTTGTAATTAGGTGGAGTGGCGGCCTAGTCGTTAGGGCATGGGGCTTGGAATCCTGAGGTTCTGAGTTTGAAACCCACTCCCACAGACTTCCACTCTGGGTCTCCGAGCAAGACCCTTAGCTTCACACTGCTCCCCGGGCGCCCCGTGATGGCAGCCCACTGCTTCCCAAAAGGATGGGTTAAATGCAGAGGTAAATTTCTCCAATGTGAGATCAATAAAGTTGAATTATTTTAACAAAAGTGATTTATTGTGAATATGAGATAAACTATTAAAGAAAAATTCTATTAAAATAAAAAAATCACTCCGAAGTAAATAAATTAGCCTTCAAAATTGTACCAAATAAATAACTTTTAAAAAGGCCACCAACATAACTCTTTAATCCAACTTTTCATATCCATCCACATCAGTGGCGGCTGGTGAAAAATATTTTTGGTGGGGCTGATATAGCCTAGTGTATGTCTCCAACTAACCCGGAATAAGAATTCAAATAAACAATTGGACAATACATACAATTTAACAGTAATGATTTAATTTACTATATAATAACAGTAACAGTGATGATTTGGGTCACTGTGACGGGGTTCTTTGGCCTCCAAGAATCCAGTCTCAGTCGGGTGACCGGTGTTGGTGATTTATTGAGCTCAAAAACTCAAAACAGGGTGCAAAAGAAACTAAACATATACAAGATACTCTGGGCCTCAGCCTCCCTCCAGTTACCAGCAATGTAACAAAGAAACAGAAAACAAAAATTGCCGCTTTTCTTCCCACAGCCCTCATTAAATAGTTTAAGCCCCTCACCTCAGGCTCTCTTATTTCTGATTTCTTCTCATTAATCAGTTTTGTCCATATATTACCTCCACAAACAATTGATGTACAAAAACAAATAATTTTTACAACTTAATTCTTTTACACAGATTCATTGACTTATTCAATTACACCAAACTGGGTTTGAACCCAGCAAAGACGCAGCCAGACTGAAGATGACAAGTCCCCGCATAAACACGTACACACCCACACCCCCCACATACCCACACACACACACACACACACACACACACACACACACACACACACACACACACACACACACACACACACACACACACACACACACACACACACACACACACACACACACACGGCTAACCCCACTGAAATATTAAGTGTGCACCCTCAATACGCCAGCAGGTAACCAGGACAGCTTGTGTGTTTTAAGTTAATAGAGCTACTGATCTCAGCGCGAGTGTATTGGTCCTCACAAACACAGTATAACAGGAATGTGTGTGTGGCACGCAAAGTTAGAGAGGTTGTTTTAAGCGACGAGGTGGATTCGTCACAGTCACAATAACCATGACATGAAATGTTCATATCCTACAACAGGGATGTTCTTCTGGCAAACGGGTAGATAAATAAGGATCTCACCGAATTTGGTGGAAGCTGCATCTCGCTCGTTACATTCGCCATCTTCCCTCTAATTGTCTGCACTTGCGCTTGGGTTCAGAAGCCTGTTAAAGCGCAGTATTTTCAGCGCCCCAATAACATAAAGTTCCGAGACGCTGATTGGCCATTAAATTCACCTAGCAATAGTACATGATTGACAGATTCTCTGCAAATGTGGGTCAGTCTGATCACAGCCCCCAGAACAGAGACGGTAGGAGTCTGTCTGTGGAAATCCACAAATTAATGACAGTAGATAGGGAAATGTAGTTTATATAATTTGTTTTGCTTATAGTTACACAGTCTAGAGAGTAAAACAGACATTTATGAGTTAATTTCTAAAAATATATTTTACGTTTCTCTCTTCTTATCAGGGAGGGCGGTGCCCCAGCGCCCCCTATGGGCCGGCCGCCACTGATCCACATAGATCATGTTCTCAGTCAGAGAGAAAAAGTCAAATTCAAACAGACTCTAACGTCTGCTTTTGAAGCTCGATGATGGCGGTAAAGTGGTAGCTCTTAATCAGAGACTATGAGCCTCCCTACAGAAAGGAAATCCTGATTTTGTGGGGCTCATACAAGAAAAAATGAACTTGGTTGAGGTGTTCATAAGGACAGTTGCTTCTGTGCCTTACCACTGTGCCAACAACTGGTTTATACTGCAGTCTTCAGTATAAACCGTCTCCAACAGAACACAGGGTAACGTACAGAGAGAGAAATCGATTTCTCTCCTTTAGACTCTGTGGAACCTCATTGGTAGAATTCCCTTATGACAGAAAGAAGGCCACGATTCACCACGAAACATTTAATTACAATTTGAATTCTTACAGCTGTCTTAAACACTTCATATGTTCAGCGCTACATCGTCAGACATCCCCCCCAACTCTCATTTAATCTAAGGCTGTTTTATAGTCTCAATATCGCACTGTGTAGTTTTACGTCCACGACTGGACGCTCTGTCAAAAAATTCCTGGAAATCTCTTAGCTTATGACCTGTTTGTGTGTGAGCCAGCAACTAAAAACCCTGTTTTTGCCAAGATTCTTAAGTGACTTTCAGCATGTAGACACCCTGTCTACATGCTGCATTATTTTTTTTTTCAAAACCAGAGCCACCTATGTGAGAGTTTCCAGGGTTGCCAAAACAGAGAGCAGCAATTGGGGTTTGTTGTTGGCAAAAGAACAGAGGAAGATATGGAGGCACAACAACTTACAGATACTGAACTGAAATAAATTTTTCATTTCTTATATTGAATTAAGTTGCGCCTCATCTCAGTGGAGCAGGGCGTAGTGGGGATGGGGGCTTTTTTTTAAACACTTGCTTTTATGTTTTAATATGCCTTTATTTGTATCTTGAACTATTTACTGCATGTAGAGGGCAGGAATTTTTTTGGTATTTATTCTAATCTATTCTATTTTCCACACCCAGAAGTCATAAAAAACAGAACAGAGAGGAAGGTATCACACCCATGCAGCATTTAGTTGGTTCCTCTTCATAATTAATCTGTACTTTTTCGACACAATAAAAACAGACATCAAATATTTTATATAAGTAGCTTTGCCACTTACTTTTACTTACGTTTACTTTTTTGGCAAGTTTGATATAAGTATATTTTCAATAATATTTGCATATTAAGTAAAATTCAAACTCCTTCTCTCATGATTTTTAATCAGGTTAGGTTCTATTTACTGAATTGTATTCTTTTTTTTTTTTTTTTTTTTTTTTTTTTTTACATATTTTTACTTTACAGTAGCTTTATACGGTTTTAGAGTTCTCTGTTTTTTTATATAGGGCCTTTTGTTCAGTTCTGTCGCAAAACAACCGATTACTGAATGCCTTTAATCCTTTCATCCTTTAGCTTTCCACACAAAACTTATTTAGTTCCTCTCAAAACTTAAACCTGCTTTTTTTCTAAAACTCATCCATTTTCTTTCCCTAATTTCCCAAATCACAACCTGTCCATAAATACTATTATAATCATAATAATCTTATTGAAAATAAAATGTATCTGGCCTGCCTGATTAATTTGAAGGACTGTTTAAATGGGACCAAAATTCCCATATATGAAGAAACACAAAAAGAAAAGCAGAAAATGGTATGAAAAACAAAAAAACAAAACATATACTGAACCCAACCTAAAAATAGAAAGGCTGACTCAAACTTTTTGTTTCAAAGAGAAGCTCCTAAATAAAAAAACAAGAACTTGATTTTGATCAAATACATATTCACCATCCACCTTGGCAAATAAAACATCCATACTTTTCTTACCGCTGGTCAGTAATAGTGACAGAGTGTCAGGGCCTATATTCAGCAGTCTAAAGGGTTTAGGGTTAACATTGCAGGTTATACCCTGGACATGTACACTATATTGCCAAAAGTATTTGCTCACCCATCCAAATTATTGGAATCAGGTGTTCCAATCACTTCCATGGCCACAGGTGTATAAATTCAAGCACCTAGGCATGCAGACTGTTTTTACAAACATTTGTGAAAGAATGGGTCGCTCTCAGGAGCTCAGTGAATTCCAGCGTGGAACTGTGATAGGATGCCACCTGTGCAACAAATCCAGTCGTGAAATTTCCTCGCTCCTAAATATTCCACAGTCAACTGTCAGCTGTATTATAAGAAAATGGAAGTGTTTGGGAACGACAGCAACTCAGCCACGAAGTGGTAGGCCACGTAAACTGACGGAGCGGGGTCAGCGGATGCTGACGCGCATAGTGCGAAGAGGTCGCCAACTTTCTGCAGAGTCAATCACTACAGACCTCCAAACTTCATGTGGCCTATGGCAAGCCGTTTTAACATAAATTCGGCTGCTCCACCTTTACATTCAAGATATCTCAAATTGTTTTATGACTAGACGTTTTAGTAATTTAAGATATCTCTAAATATATTTTGACTAGTCAAAATTCCTATTCGGGATATCTCTAATTACATTCTGACTAGTCGAAATGACGTCAGATTTACCATTAACTTGTATGGAGACGTCAATTTAAGATATCTAGAATTAATTACTGACTATCTGAAATACACATTTCAGATATCTACAATTAAATTACGACTAGTCATAAAGGAAATTGAAGATATCTCGATTTTAGTTTTGACTAGTCATAATTCTAATTAAAGATATCTCAAATGCCACCATATTTCAAGATATCTTAAATGTATTTTAGGATAGGAGATATGCAGTTTTGACTAGTGAAAACTCAATTATAGATATCTTAAAAGCAAATAATGACTAGACAAAACAAATTTAAAGATATCTTGAATTGTAATTTCGACTATTCGAAATTCCTTTTAAGATATCTCTAAATGAATTAAAGATATCTTGAATTATTCAGCTTTTCCATTAAAGATATCTTAAATTGACATTCTGACTAGTCAAAATGACATCAGTGATATCTTGCCATAAATCAAAAACGTCAGAGATTTGCGTAGCGTTTTGGCGGACAGGTGTTAGCCTTGCTAGCTAATTGATTGTGCTATTCAGTGGTCCACGATAGCTGCGTCTCAATTTGCAGGCTGCGTTCTTCGAAGGACCCAGCCTACCCAGCCTTAGGAGGACCCAGGAGGATGCTCCGAAGGCTCCGATGGCTGTGATATGGAAATTTTTATTTTATTTTATTTTTTATTTACTTATTATTGGAGGAGGAGAGTCGGCTTTGACGGCTTCGGCGGCAGCAAAACCGTCGACGGATTTTTCTCAGGCTGGGAGAGCGCAGTGGAGAGGTAAGATCTAGGCTACATGTTATTATTTTCCCCCACAGGGGCCTGCTAATGATCAGAATATACCAGCTATTAAACAAACGTTTGTCAGCAGATTGACGAATATGTTTATCAAATTTTAGATTCATTTGTAAGACTTGATATAAGCTTGTTTGTAACTTTAGTAATTTGAATTGCATAGTTAAATGTGTACAAACCCTGTAAATAACTGACTTAAATCACTACTTTCACCATTACTAATGTTGTGTTGAGAACCCAAACGGTGTTAGATTGAGAAATAAATCATTATTTGTCTAAATTATCCCCTTACTGCCTGATTTTATTTGCAATTATATAACAAAAACAGAAAAAAAAATTCTAAATCTAAAAACGAAAGAAAAAAAAAAGTTAAATAGTGGATCTAGATTAGGTAAAATAAAATTTCTAATAATTCATGTAGCAAAGATAATGAAAAAAGATAGATGACTGAATAAAAATAAAAATTTTTGTCTCCTTTTTTCTACAGGTCATAATGGCATGTGCTGTCCTGCACAACATCTGCCTGGGAGCCCGTGACCCCCCAGATGATGTCCGACTCGCAGTCAGAAGACTCCAAGCTCATCTGTGTGGCATCCCATCCCATCCAGTCCAGCAGCACCACCAGGGACTCCTGCTCAGTGACAATTGTGTATATATATATATGTTCTCAAGTAATAATTATTGTATATCTTCCGTAAATAGTAGTAGTTAATTTTAAAATCTAATGTAGTTAAAAATGTTTTTAATAGTTTATTGTAAATACTTGCTTCTCTAAAAAATAAACTGATGTTGTCACTGAGAAGTTGTTCTAAGTTTACTTAACTTCTTACACCCTCGGGGGGAATAAATACATTTCCGCCTGACAAAAACACACAAAAGTAAATCACTTATAGCCTCACAGCTATTAGATTTAAGAAGAAACTTTTGGTACGTCTGTAAAGGTAAGATGTCATAGAATGGTTTTCTGGTGTCAGCACCATTGTAGCTTTGACCCTGCCTGAAATATTAGGGACAAAATATTTTGCATTTTTTGAACCTCGCCAAAATTTTCTTTGAAATAAACATTGCAAAACACTACCAAAATATTATTTATAGCACAAAAAAGTAGTACAGACTTTTAAATCTAAATGTTGTGTAAAAATATACCAAATTTGGACTCAATCAGATGAATCATATTTATTTTAGAATGGTATTAGTGAGAAATTTCTTAGGCGGAGAGGCCATTTTGGCACATTTATCCATAAATGACACCAAACTGTGCCAAATGTGTTTTTTACATCAATACTGGGGGTTTGGTAAAATTACGAGGTCACGTAGCAGCTGGACCCGCCGGTGGGTCCGTAGGGTTCAAGGGGTTAAATTGTAAAGAAGTGATGAAACAGATAATGTAAAAAGGTTAAAAGACACACCGATAACAATAACTTTTATAAACAATTTAATAATTTAATTTAACAATAACAGCAACACAGAACCTCCACTTGTAAAAGACAAAACAAAACAAAAAAATCAACATCTGTCCACCATCCTCTCCAATAAATGAAATAATCTGTCCATCCTTTCCCGCCTCCCTCTGCCATCTCATATCCTCCCTCATTAAATCAACCAACTCGTCACTCCTTCTTCTCTTTCTCCTTTCCCTCCTCTCTCATCCTCATTCTCTTCCTCATCTTCACCCTGATGCTGCTCAGCCTCTGCAGCACCTGGCCCTGTTGTGTCCTCAGGGATGGAGGCAATTAGGACAGGTGGGTTTAACAGAGGGCCTCTGTCCTAATACCTCATCCATGAGGACAAACCAGGGCCAGGTGGCAGCAGTAGGATTCCCACTGACCCCCTGCTCTGTCTCTGGATCTTTGCATTCCTAAAGTGGAGGAAAACAATTTGTGTCAACAGATGCTTTTTTCTGTAGTGTTTCTTTAAAGCTATAGGAGTGTTTCATGAACTGGGTGGATTTATGAAATTCTACAGAAAAAGACTACTTTGGAATGATAACCTGGAGAGGAATTTTTTCAAGCTTACTAAAAGTGTTTTAATGTAATATTATATTCATTATTGGAAAATGATTTATTCTCAAGTGAAGATTCTTTAAAATGTCTCCCAGTTTCCAAGCAAAACGTTTTCATGACTTAAGTTACTGTAAAATAAAGAATCCTTCAGGTCTTCAGATTTTATAGCAGTATACTTTAGCTAAACCCCTGTGTTACTTGTTTTATTTTGTTTTTCTTTTTTTCTATTTTTTCCTTTTGATTCTTTAAAATTTTTTGTCTGTTTAAGTTTATAGTTTTTTATCTTATAAAAACCATTATGGATTGCATCTGTTCAATTGTACCTTTCTACTGTTTGAAATAGTATTTTGAATTTGTTTTTCAATAAAATAAAATAAAAAGAAAATCTAAGTGTGAATCAGACATGAAGCTTTGGTGCGCTTTTATTTTCAGAGGAGCTGAAGGAGGGTGCTGTAATGCTTTGTGCTGTCTAGCAAGTCAAAATCAAAAGCTAGTTGGCTTTACTATAATTTCCGAAGAGGCAGAAAGCTTTACCACAGTATTAAAAACTGCATCTGGTTATTACCTGAACCGGCCCGGGCTGCCGAATATTCATTGTTTCAGATCGGACATGGGTCGATATTAACACTTTCAGCTCCTCTATGCCGTTTTTAAGTGCGTTGTGTGTGTCGGCAGAAAGTTGATCAGAAATTCTTTGCAAATTCCGCAAGCATTCTTCAAGAATGCTTTTTTTCTCGCTCTCCACATAACCCAGAATGAAAAACTCTTTCGATATTGTGGCATTTTCTCACAATTTTGTCCAAAACTGCCAGCACCATTGAATCTTCAGGCAATTGTTTGAACAGCTTAGTACAGCCAATAAGAGGCTTACACGCAATCTCTTACTTCAGATATCTAAAATTGTAATACTGACTAGGCATAATTACGTTCGAGATATCTTAAATTATAATTACCGATGTGTGACGCTTTAAATGAGGAATCCGGTGACGTAATTTGAGATATCTTGAAAGGAATTTTGACTAGTCAAAATGTGATTGAAGATATCTTGAATTATTATTCTTCCTAATCAGATTGTAAATAGAGATATCTTAAATTACTGTTCCGGATAGTCAAAATGTGGTTTTGTCTAGTCAAAAAGTATTTTAAGATATCTGGAACGTAATTATGGATAGTCAGACGAAACCGAATTTATGTTAAAACGGCTTGCCATAGCAGCTGCATCCAAGCCATACATCACCAAGTGCAATGCAAAGCGTCGGATGCGGTGGTGTAAAGCACGCCGCCACTGGACTCTAGAGCAGTGGAGACGCGTTCTTTGGAGTGACGAATCGCGCTTCTCCATCTGGCAATCTGATGGACGGGTCTGGGTTTGGCGGTTGCCAGGAGAACGGTACTTGTCTGACTGCATTGTGCCAAGTGTAAAGTTTGGTGAAGGGGGGATTATGGTGTGGGGTTGTTTTTCAGGAGCTGGGCTTGGCCCCTTAGTTCCAAGGAAAGGAACTCTGAATGCTTCAGCATACCAAGACATTTTGGACAATTCCATGCTCCCAACTTTGTGGGAACAGTTTGGAGCTGGCCCCTTCCTCTTCCAACATGACTGTGCACCAGTGCACAAAGCAAGGTCCATAAAGACATGGATGACAGAGTCTGGTGTGGATGAACTTGACTGGCCTGCACAGAGTCCTGACCTCAACCCGATAGAACACCTTTGGGATGAATTAGAGCGGAGACTGAGAGCCAGGCCTTCTCGTCCAACATCAGTGTGCGACCTCACAAATGCGCTTCTGGAAGAATGGTCAAAAATTCCCATAAACACACTCCTAAACCTTGTGGACAGCCTTCCCAGAAGAGTTGAAGCTGTTCTAGCTGCAAAGGGTGGACCGACGTCATATTGAACCCTATGGATTAGGAACGGGATGTCACTTAAGCTCATATGTGAGTCAAGGCAGGTGAGCAAATACTTTTGGCAATATAGTGTATGTCTGTCCATTGCAGATGGCATTTGAAAATATATTAATGTAATTTAGTTCCTATGTCTGTGAACTTTTCTTGGTTTTGCTGCACCAGGAAAACACCAAAGGACAAGTAAACTTAACTTCTTCTACCAGTGTTAGTTGCAAAATGCTTTTTGAAGATATGCTGAGTCAACATTAGTTGCTTCAACTGAAACTGGAGTCAGAGCTTTGAAAGCTTTCACTCTTAGTGGATTGGAAATCAATTAGCAATACTAAAAGCAAAACAGTACTTTAAATAAAAACCATTGCTCATCTCATCTAACGCTTGAGAGATAAAAGTTTATATATCTGATAGCGAATTGCTTTAGGCCTAACTGCAGCCTCCTTACCTGCCAGGAGCAGCAGTTCTTGTCCACCTGTCATTGTTCCAAGCAATGCAACAAGATGCTACATCAGTCGGGGAGCTGACAAGTGACCACCACAAAAGCTGTTGAGTCAAATATCTAGCTCTGTTGAGGAAGTTGTTTAGTGGGTGGAGTGTATTTGATTCGTTTCTGTTTTAATTGTTATAGGATTGTCCACTGTTCCTCTGCATTATCTTATGCCAGCCTGTCTGTCATTTTTCTTTATTGATATGATCTTATTATAGTTTCTGATGGTGCAAGTGCTGGTTATAAAAATAGATCATGAAAAAGTTTATTTATTTATTTCAGTAATTCCATCTAAAAGGGAACTTGTATTATATTCATTCATTACACACCGGCTGATATATTTGAAGTGTTTCCTTTAATTTTGATGATTATAACTTTTACTTCATTAAAACTTTGAATGAATTCCTCAAAATTAGAATCTCATAGAATTAGAATATTACTCAAATTAGAATATAAACTATCTTATTGCACATGTTTATCTGGGTAATGGTTTTTATGATTTTGGGTGATGATTCTGCCATGGTCTTGGCGCTGATGTTTGGCAGACTTAGACTTAGACTTCGACAGTACTTTATTTATCCCTTGGGAAGACTCCCTCTGGAAATTAAGGTTACCAGCAGCTTACAAGGCAAAAAGTATTAGGTTAAATTAAGTTAAAATTAAGCAAAAAAAATAATAAATAAATACACATACAAATACACAAATATAAATACAAAAAATAATACTGATTAAGTACAGTGTATATAATAGGAGTTGTGTGTATGTATTATAGGAGTTTGGCGGATAGATTGACCAGTAATATGGTTTGCACTTGCACTATGTGATTTGTCCTGATAAATATGGAGTTCACATTTTACAGAAAAAATACAAGTGTTGCTACTCCTTCCCTCTTCCCCCTGTCCTGTGTCGCCTCCTCGCCCCCAGTGAGTCGTTGTACAGTCTGATGGCGTGGGGGACAAAAGAGTTCTTAAGTTTGCAGTTTTCAGTTACTCCTGTTCACCTGTCTAATTGCCCCGGCAGCTCATTAACGCATATTGCTTCCACCTGGTTCCCTCTGCTTTTCATGCTGTTTCTCTGCCTACCATCAGCGCCAGATTATTCAAGCTGTTTTTGTTAGAGTAACTCTAGCATTCAAGAACGTTTTTCTGTGATTCTGATTCTGACCTGTTTTCTGCTTTTGGATTTTCAAGTTTTTGCTTTGCCCTCATCTGCTCTGTCAGCTTTGTTTTCTAGATTTGTGATATCAAACCATGTCTGTCAAGGGCTCGGAACCTTGGACCCAATATTCTAAGTTGACAGATCTGGATGATTTCAAATCAGCCTTTATTTAAACTAATAGGCGTGCGGCTGCTTGTCAGCTGGGAAGGGCAAACCAGATCTTCTGTAGGGATAGAAACTCACGTTAGTGACTTAGAATAAAGAACTGACCACGAGTATGAGCAAAAGTCACTAACCTGGTTCTAAGGTGCCGCCCCAAGAGTTCCGAATAATGAGAAGGGCTGACGCCAGCCAAAGCCGAGGAGCAACAGTGTCCGTAAAGAAATATCCAGAGCCGAAATCAAAGCAGAATCAGGTTTACGGACTAGAAGATCAGAGAGCCGAGGAGGTACCGGATGAAAATCCAAGCCAAGGTCAGAAGTACAGTCCAAGTTTGGGTAACTGGCAGAATCCAGGAATCAGACTAGAACTACCAAGACTAACAGAGCAGACAGGGGAAAGTAAAACTTTGGAGTCCAAAGGCAGAAACAGGTCAGAATCAGAAACTTAGAACAATATAAGGAACGCTAGACTTACCTTTACCAAACAGCTCGAATAATCTGGCGCTGATGGTAGACAAACACATTGGCACATCTGGGACTCTCTGGGCGCCACCTGCTGCCTTGTATTGGCAGCCAACCGGCTGGAACCAACCTTACCCTCTGGGCTCGGACTGACCTATGAAACCAGGTTTGTGACTCACAAGTTCATTATCATCCATCTCCAGAAAGATGTGGTCACTAACCCATTGACTGCTCCTGCAGAGGTTCCTGCCTTTGATTGCCTCATCATCATACATATGTTGGGCCTTGGTTGTGGGTATGTGTGTTATACCTTTCTCTTCCCCAGGGTGTGTTTTGGCAGGGTGAACTCCCACCTGATGCCACTTAGCAGCAATCAGTAGGCAGTATTAAGAGAAGTGGATTTTCTAGGAAGGATGCCAGTTGGTTTACTTCTGCACTGTGGTAACCTACCTTTTAGCTCCTCTGATTTTTGAAACTCTTGGTTAAATCTTACCTTCCTTGTTTTCCTCTCCTTCTAGTTGGTCTAGTTGACTCCAAGTCTGTCTTATTTTCTGCCTCCTGGATCTATCCCGAAGGGCTCACCAGCCTGTCCACCCATCAACACCCCGTCTGGGTCAGTAAAGGAGAAAAGATTAACTCACCACATGCTCGCTTTAGACCGACTCCGCCTGGATGCCTCTAGTCCCCCCGGACAAGTCCCAGCATTTGAGGACTAATGATCCCAGTCTGAGTTTCCCCGGTGTGTCTTTTCTAGGCTGATAAAACTCACCTCTGTCTGACTGTGACTGTGCATACACTAGAGTCGGTCATAGCAACATGTCAACATATAGACACATAAAACAATATGGGGGAGTCGTGCGAAAGTCTAACATGTAAACCTTTTAGTAACTTCTACTTTTAGCATTATGTCACCCTTTACCACAGTTTTGACTTTTCAATAGCCATTTCACATAGGCCTACCAACCAACTGTCTTGCTGTTTGTTGTTTATCAGTTTAACGAATCAGAGTTTAACACTGGGTTATTCACACTTCACACTGTACATGTCTTATGCGTCACCTCTGTTTAAACTGGCCACAGCTGTTTTAGGAGCTACAGCTTCTATTTAGTTCTCTATAATGTGTTCATCACAAAGCCTCACTGCTTTTATGAAAATGTTCTTCTTTTTGATGTATGTTGTTTTCCTGATTTGTTGCTGGAATAACCTGCTCATGCTTAACTTAAAAACACATCCTGACAACCTTAGCTGTTTTAGCTCACCTATCAAGAAACGGAGAATATGAGGATAAATCCATTCAGATACGTTTTTAATGGTTCCTGTCAGGAAATCATACGTGTGAAGATAAACTGCTGCATTTGAACAAAAAATTATAAACGAAACAACACCATAACACCAGTCTTCACAAGTACACAATGTGTTTGCATAACCATCACTTAAATTGCATGAACAGAATAGAATAGATCATGGAATAGGTCATGGATTAATGGACCACGGTCCGGATCCGGACCCACCTGCTGATTAATTTGGACCCAACCTGACCAACCGGAGTACAGTCTGTAATTTAACTTGCGCCGCTTCTCCTGTTTGTACGATAAAGCCCTCTAGAGCTTCTGGGACCAGGCTAAACGTAATACAAATTTGCCAATAAGCTGTGTCGATCAGGGCTGTTGCTGCTGCTGTTAGCTACCTTAAGACACAGCAGGCAAACCTGTGGCAAGCCAGGCGATGGGAAAGGAAAATGAGACGATGAGAATATGTGAAAGAAAACATGTGGACTTCTGGAAGAACTGTGGTGAACTGGTGACAGAAAAGTGAAATGCTGTGCTCAAAGATGACCCTGCACATTTTGAGTATGGTTGGCTCAATTTACTGCTGTGAAGCTGGATTCTCCACCATGAACATAATTAAAAATAAATATTGATCCAGTTTCAAAATGAGCACCTTGATATGTGCTTTAGAATGGCTTTGTCTCCATTCAAACCCAGGTTTAAAGCCTTGCAGGTCAGCCTAAAGCCCTTAAGCCATAAAACAGAAACAAAAAATAAAAAATAAACGGTCAGTTCAGCTGTTTTAAAAAAAAATATGTGAATCAGGAAAATGTCCATATACCAAACTGAACGATTTGTGTTCTCTACTTACAAAAACACTAGAGAAATATTTAATAAATCATATTTTCATGTGTATTTCTGCAAAAAAAAAACTCTATTATTAAGAAATAAAAAAAAAGGCATATAACAACAGACTTAAAAATATGTACTGAGTTTGTTGGGAGCATTGATGGTTATAAAGTCTAAAAACTGCTGGAAGGAGGGAGCTATGAAAATGCTCCGTTTTGCATGTAGGACGCAGACACCTGTCACTGAAGAAGCTCTCCAACTCTACAGCTGCTTTATGTAGGGTCTGTGGGAGACATGTCCAACAGTGGGATGGTGGAGCTTGTTCAAGTTTATTTTAGCTTTTTAAATCTTCCGTCTCCTACTGTCGGTGTCTCCCATTACATGTTTAGGATTTGCTGTGCATGCCCTTGTCACTTAAGGACACTGTTGTGTTTTATTTGTCTGAACTCTATTTTAAGACTGAGTATGACTCCCTTATCAGGAGCTTCTGCTTTTTCATGTAATAAAGAAGAACTGCTTTAGTAAGAAGGCCTGCTAGAGATAACTGTGAAGAAAGAACCTTGAGATTTCAGTTTCTGCTTTTTGTTTCTACGAATCTGGACAGAGAGGAAGTAAAGAAACAGTATAAAAAGAGAGAAATGAGAAGTTTGTCAGTTTTTTTTTTTTTATTTTATTTGCCAACAATTTCAAGCAAATGTTTGAGGCAGTTAGTATACTTGGAATGGCCACAAGAGTCCAGCATTGTATCAGTCTATTTTAAATGTACAAAACACAACAAAGCTGCTTTCTGCCCTCTCTCTTTTTAACCCCTCACCCCACCCACACATGCATCCATCCATTTATCCATGCATAAACACACACACTGAAGCATATATACACGAATATATACTGTACATTTAAAGAAATCAACTTTTTACATATTTAGTTATTTTACAGCCCTATTCCAGATGGAATTAATCCATCTTCTTTTTAAACTCTAAACACAGCACCCTATTTTGACAATGTGAAAGGATTTTTGTGATTTTAGCAGCTTTATCTAGATAGAAAACTAGTATATCACTATTCAATAAATATTCACAACATTTATACTTTGTTGTTGTTATGACTGAGTTTCGAGATGGTTAAAGCAGTT